AAGTGCTGAGCTACAGAAGAGGTGAAAGTATTTGGATTTTGGTACGCAAAAAAACAAACCTAATCAAACCCAAAACAAAAAACCTCTCTAAAATTAAATCAAGAAACAATTATTTAGTAAGTCAGGAAAGCCAGGATTAAAGTCCCACTTGAGAAATATTATTGGGGGGACAGCTAGGTGGTGCAGTGGATAGAGCGCCAGCCCTGAAGTCAGGAGGACCTCAGACCAAACACTTGACACTTACTAGCTGTGTGACCCTGGGCAAGTCACTTAACCCCAGCTGCCTTTAAAAAAAAGAAAGAAAGAAATATTATTGACCCTGACTGACAAAACACAATCTCTCATTGCACCCTGGCAAATTTCTAGTACTGTAAGTTGCAGAACAGGCACCTACACATCTACACTAGTGGAGGAAATTTCATCACTTGCAGTCCCTCATACAAACTACTCCTGCAGCCTCCTCCCAATGGTGAGCTCATCCCAGAATCTCCATTTGGAGGAAGGGCCTATCCTTCCTCACAACAGCTACACTTCATTCTACAGCCTCTACCATCCTTCGGTTGCCTTCTTTCTCAATCTTGTTGCCCCCTTCTTCCACTGTTTGTTCTTCCTAGAACCTCCACTTTAAGGATAGGCCCAGACCAGCCATTCTCTATCTGGACTTCTCCACCATGCTCCTAAGTAGTAGGCCTTCCACACTTTACAACTCTTTTATATGTTATCTTTCATAATTAAGAAGTAAGCTCCCTGAGGGCAGAGGCTTTCTTTTTACTTATATTTGTATTCAGATATTTTAGCACAGGGTCTGGCACAAAGTAAGTCCTTAATAAATGCTTCTTGATCTTATTAGACATCACAGGTCTGGAACAAAGAAAAAAGAAAGACAGTATATAAAAGAGCTATAAAGTGTGGAGGGCCTACTATATGACACAATCCATTACTTAATCAAGTGCTAAACTATAAAGTAGAGATGGTATGGGAACCTCAAACTCAACATACCCAGAACAGAACTCAGTATCTTTCCCCTCAGATCCACCTATTTCTCACATTTTCCCTATTTCTGTCAAGGGCACTATCATCAACCTAGTCATCCAGATTCACTATTGATCTTAGACAACAGATTCTTCCTCACCCCAGAATCAATCAATCACCAAAACTTGTCTGTTCTACCTCCACCACGCTCACATTGTCCTCCTTCTCTTTGCTTACACAACAGCCACTCTTCTCATTTATACCCCCTCCTCCAGACCACTCCTAGGTGGTCTTATTTCCTTTTACCCCTCTCTAATCTACCATCTACACAGCTGTCAAAGTGATATTGTCAGTCTGACTTCTCTTGCTAAATAAACTCCAATGGTGCCTATTTACTTCTAAGATGAAATACAAACTCTTGTTTCTTATTTAAAGAATTTCATAACCTGGCATTAATGGACCTCCTATACATAGCAAACATTATTCTCCTTCATGCACTCTGTTACTGTTAAACTGACCTACTTGTTCCTTCATATGCAACATTCTGTCCCCTCCCCTGTGCCCCACATTTGCCAGGAATGCACCCTGCCTTTCTGAATTCTTAGTTTCCTTCAAAGCTCAGCTCTAATGCTTCTTACATGAGGTCTTTTCAGATCTCTTTACCTTGTACTTTGAAGATAAAGCTCCTTGAAGGCAGGATTGTTTCACTTCTTGTCTTTCTAGCACAGTGCCTTTCATATATTAGGCACTTTTCACTGACTATTCTCCCGTCCCATTCCTGGAATTCTCTCCCTCCTCATATCTCTATCTCCTGCTAAAATCATCTCAACCTTCCATAAGAAACCTTTCCCAATCCCCCTTAATCTAAGAGTCTTCTCTCAGTTGATGATTGCCAATTTATCCTGATATATCTTGTTGTATATAATTGTTTGCATGTTGAGGCCCCTGAGAGCAAGGACTATTGGAGCAGCTAGGTGGCACTGTGGATAGAGCACAGGCCCTGGAGTAAGGAGGACCTGAGTTCAAACCCAGTCTCAGACACTTGACACTTAGTAGCTGTGTGACCCTGGGTAAGTCACTTTATTGCCTAGTGGAAAAAAAAAAGGAAGAAAGAAAGAAAGAAGGACTGTCTTTCTACCTTTCTTTGTATCCTCAGTTTACAAAGTGTCTGACATATAGTAGGCGCTTGCTAAATGCTTGCTGACTTGACTTTACAGGAATTCAGAGACAGATGAAATGGCCAAAATTGAGTAAAAACTATCAATAAATTACTGCTTCCAGGTCCAACAACCAACGGCCAGAGTAGCAACCACACAGAAGAGGCCCGCTACCCCCATCAACTTCCAACCAACTGCCATCCACATAGCAGGCAAGTCAACTTAAGTTGAAGCAGCAAAAAAACACTGAAGGAGAAAAGAGTAGGTGGTATGTGCCAGGCAAATCAAAGCCACCAACTTGAACACCATTCTCTCAGACCCTAAAGGAGAGAGCTAAGGATTCTGAACCCAAAACCCCTCTGAAGCACCAGCCCAATTTCCAAAGAGTAGGGACTCAACACTCATCCCTCAGAGAAGCTACCTGTCAACTAACTGTGTCTGCAGCCAGAGAGAGTACTGAAGACCACCCAAAAAGTTCCTGCCACCAAAGTCTTTGGCATTGTTAAATGGTTCAACATAAGAAATGAGTATTATAATGAGTTTATAAGTGGGGAAAAAATTAAAGAAGATGCATTATCTTCTGCTTTATAGCTGTAGCCTAAGGACCATGAGGACTTTCTATCTGTCTTGTAGCTGAAACCTTCTACAGGTGCTGTTTCTCCATCAGAAAGTAAGTTCCTTGAGAGCAAACTGTCTAGGACTTAGCATAGTGCTTTTTGCACATAGAAAGCACTAAATAAATGCTTTTTCATTCATTTATTCATAAGAATTTAGAATTCATCTCATTTGAACTATGAGGTTTTCCCAAGAAACTGCACAATCTGAAATTCAGTATCTTTCTTGATTTGATAAAATACAGATGTAGAATATTTCAGGCCATGAATTCTAGCAGGTTTTCCTCTACTTAAAAAATAGTGACGGGATGACATCTAGTTGGGGGCCTTTATTCCAAATTAGAATACAACTTGGCATTTTAGGAAATTATTGATACTCCTTCATAAAAACAAAACAAGTACCCTAATCTTAACACACTATTATAAGAAGTTTCAATTTTTCAATTTTCTGGGAGCACACCCAGATAAAGTATGCAAATTTGAAAAGTGGGAGTAGTCCACTGTGCCAAACCATAAACAAAAATTAGACATTAGAAACAATTTTGAGCCTGTTTCCTCACTTGTAAAACGAAGGGATTAGACACATACTCTAAGTTCCCTTTCACTCTATCTACATCTAAGATTCATCCTATGAATATTATAGTCATTCATCAAACCACAAATACATGGTACTGACTTTATCTGAGGTGACAGCTAGGTGGCGCAGTGGATGGAGTACCAAGCCTGAAGTCCAGTTTCAAATGTGGTCTGAGTCTCTATCTCTATCACTGACACACACGCCCACACACCCACACACCCACACACCCACCCACACTCCCCCCAAGTCATTTAACCCTCTTTGCCTCAATTTTGTCATCTGTAAAATGAGCTGAGGAAGGAAATGGCAAACTACTCCAGTATCTTTGCTAAAACCCCAAATGGTCCCACTGAAAAAGAACAAATTCTTCCCCGTCCCTTTAATTCCCACATAAACTCTTTGAAGGCAGGGACTTGGTTCAATAAATGCAACACCTCAATGATCTTAGAATTAAAATCTGTTTTGTTCATTTCTAATGAGCAACTTTTTAAATAAGACTCAGGATGAAAAACTTCTCTACATACTTCAACAACAAAAAAATAGAGTTCACTAGAGGTCAAATTAGTACGCTTTCTCATAATGCTCTGTACATCTATTGCATACATACAATAGTTACTTGTCTACGTAAAAAAGCCTATTTAAAGCACTATTAAGTTCATATTGACAGCCAAAAGCACATCACAGTGCCTTAATATTTTCTGAACTACAAATTTTTTTTCTCTTTCCTTAACACTTGTGTATAATCTGTTCCCAGTGGGTTACAAGCACACAGCTAGGAAAGTCGTCTTTTTTTTTTAAGAGAAGATAGGAAAACTTGAAAGCATGGCTATATTAATACAAATTAAAAGTTTTTATTTTCATTTCCACTGGCGTCCCAGGTAACGAATGCCTAGATCTCCCAGAGTTTTGCTCAGTCATACTACTCTAGTTCATTCAACACAACTTCTCAATTTTGGGGGCATATATAGTACAGAAAAAAGTATCAGAAATTATCATCCCGACCCTCGATGGTTCATTAGATTCAACATTTTGTTTCACTGGTCTAAAGCCTGGTCCTATCTCCCAATGGATACAGGTCTCTCCCCATTTGCTCTATCCCCAGCGATTATTCCTCACGGGAGAACATCCACTTCCCTTCCAACATGGAAGGCTAGGGCGGTGGGTGCTACTAACTCAAGACGCTTAACGTGTCTTCCACGTGTCCTCCTCCTCTGTAGGCACCTTCTAAATATACATATTGAAACTGCACCTCTTCTTCTCCTCGCCAAAGCCTGAATTCGTCTTCGCACAACTTCCTCCTCCCACCACCATGACGTCCCAATCCAGTGTCAGCGTCTGCACATGTCAGCTAGGCCTCGGAAGACGCTCGGGGGTCACAAGGGCCCACAAGACCGGCTCGGTCTCGGGAGGTCACTGGCGTGCCTTGTCGGCTCTCTTTGTCCACTCTTCGCCACGGGCCTTTGGAACCTCACCCCTCCTAGTGCCGGCTGCACCTCTGTCCCAAGTTCACGTCCACGTCCAGTCCCATCCCCATTTTGTGCCCATGTGGTAAACCCGCGCGCCTCCGCTCTGAATTAGAGCCGGGAGGGTCTGTGGGTCCTCTCGGCCCCCCGGGGCGCAGGCTCTGCCGGGGCCGGGGTCCCTCGCCCCCCACCCCCGGATCCCTCCTCCGGCTCTCACCTTGGGCTTCTCAGCCACTCTCTTCCGGTTCTTCTTCCTCGAATCCTCGCTCCTGAGGCTCTTCAGCAGGGCTCCGTCCTCCGGGGCCGGGGCCGGGGCCGGCACCTCCTCCCGCCGGCGGGGCGGGCTCCTCCGCCTCTGGCGGGCCCCGGAGCAAGCCGCGGCCCATCCCAGCCCGAGCAGGAGCAGCAGCAGCAGCCCGAGCGCGGCCGTGCCCAGCAGGATCACCCAGGCCGGATAGCTGTGCGGCTCCAGCCCCAGGTCGAGGCCCAGTTCGGTGCGCAGCAGGTAGAGGCCGGCCGACAGCAGCTCCCGCAGCGGGGCCGAGCCCTCCTCGGCCTGCTGGGCCAGCGCGTCCAGCCAGCTCCGTGCCGCTTCCGCGGCCATCTTCCCTCGGGGGTCCGGGGCCCCGCACGAGGAGGCGCCGGGGAGCGAGGACGCGCGGGGTGGCCGAGGGACGGAGGAAGGCAGGAAGAGGCGGCGCGCGAGCGCTCCGCTCAGGCCGACTTCATCGCGGCCCGAACCGCTGGGGGCACAGGGCTGCTCCCGGGTCCCCCAGGCAGCCTCACTCACTCGCCGCCAAGAGGAGGAGGAGGGAGAGGGGGAGGAGGAGGAGGAGAAGGAGGAGGAGCGGAGGGGAGAGGAGGCAGCCTCTCCAGGGGCCGCCGCTAAGCGGCGTGTCGGCGCCCGCGCCAGGGACCAGGCCTCCTCCCGCGGCTGAACAATGGCGGTTCGGGAGAGCGGCGGGGCGCGCCGCGCAGTGCTAGGGGCGGGGCGGGACCAGCGGCGAGGGGAGGGGAGGGGAAAAGGGAAGAAGGGACGGAGCTGGAGGGCGCGCGAGTCACGTGGCAGCCGCTGGTGGGCGGGGCTGAGCGTCTGCGCGCGAGCCCCACGTTCTGGCCGCGAGAATGGCCTTGCCTTTCGCTTTGACCCGCCTGAGCTGGAGGTGGGGGAAGGGCAGGTGAAGGAAGATCTTCGGGAGCGGGGCCGGATTTCGCAAAGTTCGTGGCCGCAGTGCGGAGGGAGGTGGTCCTTCTGCTTCCGCTAGGTCCCCGGGAGGAGGTGCTCGCGAGAGAGGCGGCGAAAGGACCGAGGGAAGCGGGAGACCGGGCGGGGGGGGCGGGGGCGGAGGCTTACTTTGAAAAAATGCGTTTTAATCCCCTTCCGGCCTCAAAACTGTAACACCATCCCCTCCTTCCGCTGTCAGGAGTTCCACGTTTTACAGACTGGAAAATTGGGAAACAATTCTTATCATTTTAAGTTGAATTAAAAAAAAGTTATTTTCTGCCGTCCTTGACGACTTCAGGCTATCCTGAAGTCGAATTGTTTTGCCCTTATTTTGCCAATTCCTAGAATTTAGGAGTGAAAAGGCCTGTGATTTGCGCGGATTAGGTACCGAGAAAACGGCTTCAGATATCATCCCGACCTTCGATGGTCCTTTCAATTCAACAAACATCGTCGAAGATTTAGAGCTAGAAGGGACCTTAGGGATGAAGGAGTCGGTCCCCCTAATTTTACAGACCAAGAAGATTATAGAAGTAACATGATTTGTCCAAGGTCGCAAGAAATTGTCTTAGTAAAAATCACTTAAAGTGACTTAACTAAAAAAAGGTACTTAAATAAAAGTCACTTAAGCACCCTGACACTCAGTTTCTTCATCTTTTCATCATTTCAAGAGAAAGTTGGACAAGAAGGCCCCTGAGGACTCTTCCAATTTGATCTATGATTCTACGATACAAAACCAATATAGAGAGGCATTCACAGAATCAGCAAAACCTAGGTTAAAATTATCTGATATACTTGCAACTTTTTTCTAATGATCCAGACAACTTTTATAGCTAAAAACTTGAACAGCAGGTCGACAGTAAACATTTATAAGTGTTACTAAGTACTAGGCTCTGTGCTTAGTGGTGTGGATACAATTTTTTAAAAAGCCTTCACTCAAGGAGGTTACACTCTAAAGAAGGAAGGTAACACACAAAAAGAACACTGAATAGAAGGGGGGGAGGGGAGGTGGCAAGTTGCAGTTCCCCACACCAATGAAATCACAGATCCCTTCCAAAAAACCCCTTCTATAAAGTGAGTTTCAAATGATTTTCATGTATTGACTGTAACTGAGAGGGTGGTTTTAAGATAGAAATGAAATTACCCTATCAATTCTGTCCCTGCTTGCTATAAAATATCTAAAATATTTTCACCATTCTCAGCAGCGTGAGAACTAGCATGAATGAATGAATGAACATTAATAATAACTGTGTACAAAGCAGTGTTCTGGGGAAGGGATGAGGGTGAGGGGATACAAATAGAAAAGATAATCCATTTTAATGGAGAAGACAATACATATGGAAGGCTTTCAAGTCAGATGGAAAAGTCTGGTGGGTACTTATGCTGCACGTATTAATGCCTCTTCTTTAATGTTATTATTTTAGTGTCACTATTCCCAGAAGTCTTGGGTTCAGGGCCCTGTACTGGCCCTCTCAGGGTTTGAAGGTAGATCTACTATTTAACTTGCGTGGTGTTCCCTAAATGGATTAAGAAGGGGGCCATTTTAGGCTTGAAAAATGAGGATAATATTAATGAACATTGAGTAGCAAATGTTTAGGGATGTATTGACCTACTTTACAGAAATGTTCTGATGGATGTTTGTGATTAATAAATGGAAGGAAGTAGGGTGAAATGATAAATAATAAAAACAAAGTAGAGTTTTAGCTAGGCTTATAATTAAGGACAACAAATTAAAGGCAAAAAATTAGATGTTATTGGAGATTGCTTCTCCAATTCTAAATTCTCTAATTCTAAAATATTGTTAATTCTATAAACTTGAGCATTGTACTTGGGTAATATACGAAGTTACATAGGCATTTTGGCACTAGAACTAGCATTTCTGCTTCCAGTTTTTCCAGTTTATGATCCGTCTGCTCTGAAAATAATGTTCCAAAAGCACTAGCCGTAGGTTTTTAGATCTAGAGCCAGAAGTGACCTGAGGGACGGTTGAGTCCAACCTCCCCATTTTACAGTTAAAGAAACTGAGACCCAAGGAAGTTAAATTACTTGCCCATGGCCACATGAGTATTAGGGGACAAAGACAAGATTTGAACTCAGGTCCTTTTACTTGAGGATAGGGGAGTAAGTGCTGTTAGTATCCTCATTTTACAGTTGAGGAAACTGAGGCAAACAGAGGTAACGTGACTTGCCCAGGGTCATGCAGCTAGTATCTGAGGACTGATTTGAACTCAGGTCTTCCTAACTCCAGGCCCAGCATTCTATCCCCTATACCACTTAGCTGAGAGGTGATTAGGACCTGAACTGGGGTAGTGGTTATGTAATTGGAGAGGAGCTTGAGAGATATTATGAAAATAGACATGATGAGATTTTGCAACTAATTTTGTAATGTGGGGTGAGTGGAGAGTATGGCATAACCCTGAGGTTGCAAACATGGTTGACTGGAAGTGTAGTGATGCTCTGGAAAGAAATAGATACTTTGGGAAGAGGAGATGAGTTTTGGAAAAAAGAGGAGTTTTGTTTTGGACGCTGAATTTGAGATGTCTACAGGACATACAGCTTAAAACATCCAATAGGCAGTTGATGATATAAAATTAGAACACTGGAGAGAGACTAGGGCTTGGTATATAGCTACAGGAATCCTCTGGGTAGAGATGATAGTTAAACACATAGGGACTGATGAAGTCAACTATAACAAGTAGCACTTACATAGTGCTTTAATGTTTGCTTTAATGTTGGATCTTCACGATAGCTCTGTGAGGTAGGTGCTTTTTTTGTTTTTGTTGTTTTCCAGACATGTCCAACTTTTCATGACCTCATTTAGGGTTTTCGTGACAAAGATACTAGAGTGGTTTGCCATTTCCTTTTCCAGCTCATTTTACAGATGAGGAAACTGAGGCAACCAGGGTTAAATGATTTGACCAGGATCACACAGTTCATAAATATCTGAGGCCAGATTTGAACTCAGGAAGACTTATCTGACTCCAGGCCTGGTGTTCTTTCCACTGCACCACCTATTTTATCCCAGTTTTACAGATGAGGAAACTAAGGCACAGAGAAATTAAGTACGGCCCAAGGCCATATAGCTGTTAAGGGTCTGAGGTGGAATTTGAACTCGGGTCTTCCTAACTCTAAATTCAGCACTTTACTATACTACCTACCTAGCAAAGGAGAGAATGTATCAAAGGGAAAGGAACACATATTTAAAAAGTGCCTAATATGCGTCAGGAACAGTGCTAAATGCTTTACAACAACCCTAGGAGGTAGGTGCTATTATTACCTCATTTTTACAGTTGAGGAAACTAAGGCAGACAAAAGTTAAATGACTTGCCCAAGGTCACTTGGGCTACTAAAATCTCCTTGACCCCAGGCCCACACTCTTGATTATACCAACTGGCCTGTCTCTATTGAGAGAAGATAAAGTGACCCAAGACAGAGCATTGGGATACACTCACAGTTAGGAGGCATGTCTTGGATGATAATGTATCAGAGGAAACTTAGAAAGAATGATTAGGGAGTTAGCATCACTAAGAGAGAGCAATGTCATGAAAACCAAGAAGATTGATGACTAAGAAAAGGCTCCTTAGATGTAGAGATGAGGAGATCTTCAGTAACTTGGGAGAGAGCAATTTCAGTGGAAAGATGAATTCAGAAGCTACATTGCAGGGTGTTTACTAGAGGACAGCCTAGGCTGAACTCTCTAGTATATCCACGTATTAAAACTAAAGGCCCAACGGAATTGCCATCTGTTCTTTGAATCCTCTCCTTATCCTTAGGGTTTAATAGCAACTCACATTTCCATAGCTATTTCAGGCTAGAAAAATACTTTCCTCACAACAGCCTCATGAGGTAGGTAGTGTAAGTTCTGTTTTCCCTATTTTCAAATGAAGAAACGAGTTAAATGAGGAATTAAGCCCATAGTTGTATGTCTAAGGGGAGGAAAGATTTGGTATTCTAAAGGAACTGGATATAATTCAAAGCACTGCTACTTTCTGTATGATCTGTAGGAAATTACTTAACTGCTCTGGACCTCAGTTTCTTTATCTGTAAAAATGGGGGAGGAGGGAATTATTGAACTAGATGGTCTGTAAGGTTTTATCCAGTGATGTGTCTGAGCTAGGATTACCATGTAAGAACCCAGGTTTTCTGCCTCCAAATTCAGCGTTGTTTCTGCTACACTCCGCTGCTGCCACTTAAACTATCCTTCTCTGACTGGTGTGAGGCTGAAATAAGGTATTGAATGTGAAGCTGTTTGCAAACTTTAAAGGCCCATATAAATGTCATTGCTTATCTACTTTATTAAAGAGTTCTGTTTTTAAACACCTCCCCTCACTCTGCAGAGGTAAGAGGTCCACAGGTGTGGAGCATTGCATATATTTTCATATTTTTTCAATGATTTAATTGGTTTTCTTAATTTTTTTCTCTTCATTTCTTTTTTTTTCCTCTTTAAAAAATATTCTTTGTTATCTGGGATGGCTCTCCCAGAGAGGGGGGAGAGGAGAGGTGATAGCAAGGAAGTTAGGTGATATAAAAACAAAAGATATTAATAAAAATTAATTTTTAAACTACCAAAAATTACTTTATAGAGCTAGAAAAAATAACAAAATTCATCTGGAAGAACGAAAGCTCCAGAATATCAAGGGAACTAATGAAAAGAAATGCAGGGGAAGGTGGCCTAGTCACACCAGATCTAAAGACTCCAGCTTC